GGGTGTCACTTAAGGGGAAATGGCCCACACGGGGCCTGCTGGAGTTCTTGGAATGGTTCAGCTACTGCGGTATTTGGGATATGTGGCAAAGTCACACCCTGGGACTGTCAGTCCTGGGTCCCTGGCTCCCAAGCACCCTGGCATTCATCCTTCTGCCCTCATCTGGCACCCAGTTAATGTTTCTGCTCAACCTGGAAACATTTTCTTAACGACAAAAAAATAAAATCATAGGTTAAAAATCTCGAGCAGTAAAACAGCAGATGACGTTGTGTGGGCAGCTGCCCAGAGGACACAGAACGCACGTCTCCTGAGCGGGTGGCCTTATAAGGACAGGTTCAGGAGTAGAATGGGCAGGAGGGAGGGCCACCCACCAGGAGAGTAGGAGACTGGAGTAGGGGTGGGTACCCCACCACTGGGCTGAGTGTGAAGCCAGTAGGATGCCTGGCCAGGACCTGACTCCACAGAGGGACTTGGCTGCGCGTGAGCTCCAGAGGCCCTTGTGGGGCCAAAGCCTGCCTGTCCCTCCGCCTTCACTGTGTCACTGACCTCTCAGCCAGCTGCCACGCAAACTCACCGGGCAGCCTCGCCCTGGGAACCCCCTCCCTCCAGGGCAGAGGCCATTTCCCATCCTTCATCCCACCTTCCCCCACTTCTGGGCCCAGCAGGCCTAGCACCAGCTGGTATGGTGTGCAGTAAAGGTTTGTGGGGTGACAGAATTAGGAAATGAAGGGTTCTCTGGTGGGAGTTTTGGCTCATCACCTGGGCTGTAGCACCTGGAACTCAGGGCAGCGTCTTCTCTCCTCAGAGGGCCCAATGTGGGGCTGAGGAGGTGGGTAGGGCTGGGCAGTCAGTGTTTGCCCTGCCCAGGATCACCTTTGTCCCCAGTGTGAAGACACACATACCATCAACTTCCTCCTGATAGGGTGGAAGAGTTTCACTCCCCGAGGTCAAAGTGTGTGTGTGACAGAGAGTGTGTTTCTGGGAGACTCCTGATTGTCTCTGCACTTTTCTGACCCCAGCATCGCTAGGATTAAAGACCTGGCCCTTGGGATCTGAGGGTGAGCAGAGGAGCCCCCCAGGAGGTCCCATACTGAGAGAAGGACTCTGGAAGCCTCCCCAAACCCTTATTAGGAAAGATCCTTCCCTCAGCTTCCTAAAGCCCCACGTTCCTCTCAGGGGGAGTCCTGCGTAGAGACAGAATGGTCATTTGAGGAGAACTGTGAGGGTCACGCCTTCCCTTTAACAGCTTGCACTGTACCTAAAACCCTATCATTTATGAGCCGTTATCCTGAAATAAGCATTGCCTCGTCCCCTAAGTTCTCAAAAGGCAAAGAGTGTTCCCTGCAGAGATCGACAAAGGAATTCTTTACTCTCTAGATAAGACAGGAGGACAGGGCAGCTAGAGGCAGCCTGGGCAGCATGGGGGACGGAGAGTGGAAGGAAGGGGCTGAGCGGTCAGGAGGGTCCCAGAAGAGGGAAGCGGCTCCTGACTTCAGTTGATCCTTGGAGGCCAACAGTGACCTGCGAGTGTGTTCCCTCCCCGCAGAGTGAAAGGGTCAGGGCCGAGAGGAGGTGCTGGCAGCCCCTCAGCTGGCGCTGTTCCCATGCCAGAAGAATGTCATCAGCTGCGGAAGGTTGACTTGAGATGAAGCAAGAGAGCAGAGGTGAGAGAGGATCAGCGGCAGCTGTGTGTGCTGGAGCCTGCCTGGGGGCCCAGCCTTGCATAATTCAAATACAAAATACAAGGAAACCCCCTGGTACAAGTACCTGAAATGCCACCATTACACATGTATGATTTTGGGTTAAGCAGTGCCTCTCTGTGGTAGGCCGAATAATGGCTCCCCAAAGACATCCACGTCCTCATTCCTAGAACCTGTGAATCTGTTACCTGAACTTTGCAGGTGTGAGTAAGGATCTTTTTTTTTTTTTTTTTTTTTTTTTTTTGAGGTGGAGTCTCACTGTCGCCCAGGCTGGAGTGCAGTGTTACGATCTCAGCTCACTGCAACCTCCACAATTCTCCTGCCTCACCCTCCCAAGTAGTTGGGATTACAGGCATGCGCCACAATGCCTGGCTAATCTTTGTATTTTTAGTAGAGACTGGGTTTCACCATGTTGGCCAGGCTGGTCTCGAACTCCTGACCTCAGGTGATCCACCCATCTCGGCCTCCCAAAGTGCTGGGATTACAGATATGAGCCACTATACCTGGCTGTGATTAAGGATCTTGAGGTGGGAGATTGTCCTAGATTATATGGGTGGGCCCAATGGAATCACGAGGGTCCTTCTAAGAAAGAGGCAGAAAGTCAACCAGATAGAGGGCACTATGCACATTTCCCCAGGAAAGGAACACGTAAAGGCCTTGAGATCTCAGGCCGAATGGGTTAGGAGATATCCCTCCTGTCAGAGTCAAAAGGCCACCTTCAGCCTGCTCCACTGGGCCTCTGCGGGAACATGGTGGGGACCCAGAAGAGGAAACAAAGCATAAGCGGACAGGAGGGAGAGCAAGAACCGGGCAGAATTAGCTTCATTCTCCTTACATGGGCCAGGCCTTGGTTTGCTCCTGGAACCTGGACCCTGCCATCCTCCTGACCTCCTCTCTAAGGATCCTCTTGTCCAGACCATGCTTGAGTGTGTCATCTGCTACTGTTTCAAGGAGCCACCAAGGCAGCCACCTGATCCTTAGTATTAACTGTAGAGATTGTCCTTCTCCCAAGTGGCACTCCCAGAATCCTCTGCTCCAGCCAGGCACCTTGTTTAACCCTGCTGACCTGAGAGGCAGAGAGTGGTTCTCCCAGGGTTTCTGAGTTTGATGATAAATGCTGGAGATTTGTTAACCATAACGGTGATGAGGATGATCATAGTAAAGGTAATGATGATGGAATGAGGCTGGGTGTAAATATGTATAAATAAGTAGCTACTAGATACCATGCACACTATCCTGCTCAATCATCACAATTGGGAAGTTTCAGTATCTATATTTTATGGATAAGACATTGAGGCAGAGAGGCTGTGTGATGTTCAAAAGGTCACACAGCTGGTTAGTGCTAAGGCTGTAGTTTCAGCCCACATCTGACTTCAGAGTTTGTGCCCCTAACTACCACACTATTGTACCTCCTAAAAAATATTTTAAATGAACAATTTGCTCACTGATGTCTCTCCTTTTTTTTTGGAGACAGAATCTCACTATGGAGTGCAGTGGCACTGTGGTAGCTCACTGTAACCTCAAACTCATGGGCTCAAGCAACCTTCCTGCTTCTAACGTCTGACCTTTTTTTTTTTTTTTTTTTTTTTTTTGAGACAGAGTCTCTCTCTGTTGCCAGGCTGGAGTGCAGTGGCTCAATCTTGGCTCACTGCAACCTCTGCCTCCTGGCTTCAAGTGATTCTCCTGCCTCTGCCTCCCGAGTAGCTGGGACTACAGGTGTATGCCACCAAACCCAGCTGATTTTTGTATTTTTAGTAGAGATGGGGTTTTACCATGTTGGCCAGGCTTGTCTCGAACTCCTGACCTCAGGTGATTCACCTGCCTTGGCCTCCCAAATATTTTTTTTTTTTTTCTAGACAGAGTCTCACTCTGTTGCCCAGGCTGGAGTGCAGTGGGATGATCTTGGCTCACTGCACCCTTCGCCTCCCAGGTTCAAGCTATTCTCCCATTTCAGCCTCCCGAGTAGCTGGGATTATAGGCGTGCACCACTACACCTGGCAAATTTTTGTATTTTTAGTAGAGACGGGGTTTTTTCATGTTGGCCAAGCTGGTCTCAAACTCCTGGTCTCAAGTGATCTGCCCGCCTCGGCCTCCCAAAGTGCTGGGATTACATGGGTGAGTCACTGCACCTGGCCAGATGTTACATTTTTAATCAAGCAACAGTTTGCTGGGGATGGACAGATTTGGGGCATGTGGGAGAAGGATAGGAATAATGGATGGACCTGTCAACTGGTTGCCTCTAATCAAGGGGACTTAGTAAAGTGGTAGACCAAGGCCAGATTACCTTAATCAGAACATTAGCTTTGGACCTAACATTGCATCTTAGAACTTTACTGTCTCTTTCAAGTGTAGTTTTACTTTTGGCAACAGACAGATGTATGTCCAACTTCACAACATCCTGCCCATTTTCTCTTGTGCTGCCTGCAAGTTATTCAAGGCAAATTTTAAGGCCAAAGAATATTTTTATTGTGATTTCAAGTTGGCAGGCATTGAGATTTAGTGGAAAGCACCGAGGGGCTATTGGGCCTCCGGAGACCTGGTTCTAGTTCCAAGCTTGTTGTGTGTAGGCCTGCAGAAGTGCCATTACACATTCAGATGAGGTATCTGGGGTTGAAGCCTTGAGAAACGTGGAAGTTGTTCGTTTTTTTTACAGGCCTCAGTTCCAGGTCCAGCCCTGTTTGCAGGGTGGAGGGGGCTGAGATGTTTTGATTCTGCGGTAATTGTTGCAAGTCTTTGCGCAGGGCCTGCTGGGGAGGGCATAGGCACCAGAGTCTTGGCCCCTGGCCTCTGCTTGTTTGAGTTATGGGCTGCTCCAGCAACTGGTCCCTTCAATCCTTGGGGACTTCTGAAGGATAGGCTTTGGGTGACTGGAGACAACTCTGGTCGCAACCTCCCCGCCCCACAAATGAGGAAAGACTGGCATAGGATCAAAGATTGTCAGAGCAGAAGGGGACCCAGACTGGCTGAAAGTCACACACACTGGCCACAGGCCTGTTATGTAGTAAAGAATCCCCAGAGATCTTCTTACATAAAACAAAACAGATTCCCGGGTGCTGCTAAGCTGGGCTTCCTGAATCAGAATATACGGGGGTGGGGCCTAGGACTCTTGAATAAACACCCAAAGGATTCTTATGGATAGCTACCAGGCCTGGAAGCTTTTGACCTGGTCAAATCTCTCCACTTTTCCTAGGGAAACTGAGGCCCAACGAAGCCTTGACCCAGACATCAGTAGACCTAAAATCAGAAATGAGGTCTTCTGACCTACAGTTTGATATTCTTTCCACACCAAGACCAGGTGCCTACAGGACTCAAAAGAACTGCCCATTATTTATTGGTTTTAATTTTCTTAAAAGCAAGGTTACTAATGCACACAGTGTAAAGAGTCAAATCAGGTGGTTTCACAGGCGTGCATGAAGAACATAGCTCCCCGTCCGGCTCTCCCATCTGCCCCTCTGCAGAGGCAACCATTTCAACGCTTTCAGCAGATTCTGCTGCTGTTAACTGTCACCTTGGCATTATTTGTGTTTTTACAATAAGCATGCATCACTTTGTTACTCTTGCTTGGTTTTAATAATACAGTTAGGATGGGTCGCCGGGTCTGGCACTGGGCCTGGACACCCAGGCATCGTGGAGTGCCTCCATGGTCACTGGGCACAGGCCACCAGCTCCTCCAGGGCTTGCTCTCGGCGGTTGCCATGGACCAGCAGCACCTCCTTGATCCGGTCCTGCTGGAAGCCCATGTCGCTGAACTGCTCCCAGAGGCGCAGGAACTCCGCTGCCTGAGGAAGAGGAGACAGGGAGGGTGCTGGGGCCTCTGCTGGGCCTGGCCTCAGCCGTGGGGAGCCCAGCTCCAGTACCTACTGCACTGGAAAAGCTGTGGTTTTCCTAGTCCCAAAAAGCTGTGGCTCCCCGCAGGCCACTTGAGCCTGATCCTGGGCCGCAGCTGCCACTTTCCTGAATCTCTAGGGTGATGTAGGCTCCGACCTCCCTTTCTCTGCCAAGAAAACAAGGCCCTAGCCTGGCCACGGGCTCTGTCCTGACTCTCCTCCCACTCACTGTCAACTTTCTGCTGGGGCAGGAGGGGGCAGACCGCACACCGGCACCGGAGCACAAACAGCCCGAAGTCCCTGCCCATGCCCTGAACGCTGCGGAGGTCTCACAGCGCAGCCTGCACCTTCCTTCCCCTCCAACCCCAGGGCTTGAAACTTCCCCACCTCTGCTCCCTCTCTCCTTCTCGGGGCCTCACTCAACTCTCTGTCCCCTTCAGCCTCTGTGAAGAGCTGCTCTGCCATGGGGCACTTAGAAGTGACTACTGGGGCCGGGTGCGGTGGCTCACTCCTGTAATCCCAGCACTTTGGGAGGCCGAGGTGGGTGGATCACTTGAGGTCAGGGGTTTGAGACCAGCCTGGTCAACATGGTGAAACTCCGTCTCTACTGAAAATACCAAAAAAAATTAGCCGGATGTGGTGGCAGGCACCTATAATCCCAGCTACTCGGGAGGCTGAGGCGGGAGAATTGCTTGAACCTGGGAGGCAGAGCCAAGATCGCGCCATTGCACTCCAGCCTGGGCGACAGAGTGAGACTCAGTCTCAAAAATCAAGATGTGACTATTGGGCCTACAGCTGCATGCACTTGGGATAGGTGGCACACTCCCCAAGCAGAGAGGTCATGCATCTTTATGCTGCCCATGGCTCCTATCTGGATGTCTGACAAAGAGTGGGCATTCAGTTACAGAGGCTGCGTTGATTCAGTCTAATAAAGCAAAGCCCCTGCTGCTGTCTGCCTCCTGTCCCCCTCCGACCTCTTCCTGATCTCCCTCTGTGCCTCTCTCCTTTGTCCTTGCTGTAGCACCCTGGACCATCTCCTCCCCAGAGCTGAGGAGTCAGGCAATCTCCCGACGGACCCACAGGCTGGCTCTGAAGACTGGTGTGCCCCTGCACCCAGGCTCCTGGGTACACCCCCATCCCTTCCATTGCCTGGGGTCCTGGCAGGAAGCTCTGCTGACCTGGCTCTCGGAGAACTGGAACATCTCCATGGCCTCGTCCACCAGGCCTTCCTCATATCCCTGATGTAACAGGCGGTCACAGGCACTGAGGTAGCTGAGAAACTGGGCCGGAAGAGGGCAGAGAGGGAGGGAGGGTAAGAGGAGCAGCAGGGGCAGCAGCAACTCCAAGGGCCTGAGCTGAGGGCCAGGCGACAGGGCAAGCCACCACATGCAGTGTGGCCCCAGAGATCCCGTGAACCCACAGAAGAGGGATAGAGGCTTCCTCTGAGTGCCTGGGGACAGGCAGACAGTGGGTCTTCACCAACTATCCCAAGTTGGGAGCTGGACTCCAGGAAAAGGGCTGTCAGGGTGGGCTAGGGTGTTCATAGAACCCAGGTGGGGAGCAGGACAGGCTTCAAACAGGCATCCCACCTACTACCCAACGCAATTCAACATTCGTGCACCACCCATCCCTGCCCAGGAGCACCCATTCGTGTGAAGGCGCCTCCTCATCCGTCCACACCTGTGCACCCCTACTCTACCCCCAGATGCCTCTCTCTCATCCAGGACTCCTGAGCCACTACTATGCATCTCCTGCACCAGTGCTGGAGAAGGGGTGCGGGGGAGGCACAGAGGAGGATTCCACAGGTTAGAAAAACTGTTCAGGTCACCCCACAGTTACGTCATTGGGGCCCAGGATAAAGTGCTGCTCCTTACCAGGCAGGGCTCAAAGGCCTGTTCCCTGTCTATGGCCTTGGCCCCTCCCTCACCCTCCAGGACTCTGCAGATGCAGCTCCCTCAGCCAAGGCCAGCCTCCTTCCCTGTCCCTGGGAAGCTTCCTGCCCCCTCTGTCTTCCTGGGTGCTGTCCCTCGTGCCCCCATAGCACCCTGTGCTTCCCTATTACAGCACATATAACTTTGTAATTGCTTCACTCAATCTTTCTCATCCACTAACTTTTTGCTCCTTGAGGGAGGGGCTGTGTCAGTCTCATTCACCACAGTGTCCCCAGCATCCAGCATGGTGGCAGAAGGAGCTCAATAAATGTATGCTGTGTTTATAAAACAAATGAAGACCTGCCTTCAAGGAACTCACAGCTTAGTGGGGGAGATAAACCAGATACAGGACCACATCAGTGCCAGGCAAATCAAAGCAGGATTTATAGAGTGTAGGTGCCAAATGAAGGCTCCAGACCACAGGAATTATGAGTATATGTGGAGAAGGGAAAGTGGGGTTTCTGCAGACCTTCAGAGCTGGGATGAAAGTGCAGATCATCTAGACTAACAGTTTTCAAATTGGTTTTAGCTCCTGAAGTGCTTGTCTTAGCACAAGGAGGCTTCAGCAATAACAGGCTAAGATCAGAGCTGCTCTGGGAGAACAAGGGCCAGGGGCATGGGGGCCCGGAGTCCAGTGCTCCTGCCCAAGGTACTGCCCAATACAGCCAGACCTGCTCTGAGCACATTTTGAAAACCACACACTCGTGCCCTCCTTTCACAGTTGAGGAAACTGAGGTTCAGGCAAGGCAGGTGCCTTGCCCAGGGTCCCAGGACTAGGCCCCCGATTATGTAACCTGTCACTTAATGCCTTGTCCATCAGAGGGATCAGCTGCTAGAGGAGGGGCTTTGAGCTGTCTTGGTGGAGGACAGGGTTTCCAAAGGTGAAACCTTCACTTTCAGAAGGAGGGCAGGCAAGGATGGTGGCGGACGCTGCCTCCACCTTTTGGCTCATCCACAGCCATGGTTCTCAATCTCAGTGCTTATTGCAACCACCTCGGGAACTTGAAACATTACTGATGTCTGGGCCTCACCTTCAGAGGTTACGATATAATTGGTCTGGGGTGTAGCCTGAGCATTGGGATTTTTTCCTATAGCTCTCCAGGTGATTCTAATGTGCACCCAAGACTAAGCGTCACGGAATGGGGACAGCTGACCTTGATCTATATCATGCCACCGTGAATATCAGACCCATCTGCACATTTTTTAAAATTAAAGGTCCCTGGGCTCCAACCAGATCCACTGACTGGGACCCTGCAGGATAAGCCCTGAGAGTCTGCATTTGCAAAGGTTCTGCTGCTTGGTTAGCTTTTGGGCCTGCAGGACTGTAGAAGCTATCAGGCTTGCCTCAGGCCCCCAGGTGGGCGAGGATGTCACCTTCAGGCCACAGGATGGAGCCCCCGGAAGTCACTGGTTCCAAACACGTATTCCCCCTCCACCCTGTGAACTGGGAAACTGAGGCTAAAAGAGGTGGCCTGGCCTGTGGACCCTCACACGTGGCACCCAGGCCTGTCCTGCAGGGAGGCAGTGAGGGCACATCAAGCCTTGTGGAAGGAAAGGAGTGCTGCACAATTTCTTTTTTATCTTCTCTCCCTGACTCTTCTAGCTGCTCTGTCTCTATCACCTGACGCCCTTCCTCCTGGGCCATCTGTCATTTTTCTTGGCCAAAAAGGATTTACTGCAATATGCGGCTTTCAGCGGGAGAAGGAATCTGAACCCAAAGGACTTGTTCAGTTACCAGGACTTCACAGAACAGACAGAAATACTAACTTGGTGGGGGAGGATAGATGAAGTCATCCAAAGGCCCCTCAGACCCACCCCTTGGGGCCTGGCTCCTGACTGCTGTCTGGGGAAGGCCACCCAGAGATCCAGGGGGCCAGGCAGGTGGTCAGTCTATATCTGGAAACACAATGTTCCCAATGCAGTGAAATTCTTCCAGCTCACCCACTGGGAGGCCAGGGCCCCAGGCTGGCTCTGACTCATCCTCAGACCCCCAGAGAGATGGCCTGAGACCTCAGCCTTGTCATGGGGCCTGAAGGGACTGGGGAGGCATATCAGAGCCCCACTGTGCACCTGGCCTCTCACAGCCCGCCTGGCCAGCTTTTTGGCAAGACCCTGGCTTTTCAGTGTCAGCTGAAGGTAGGGGTGACTTTAGATCTGCTCTTAAATCTCAGATTAGCCTATGGTGCTGTCCTAGGAGGCTCTCACACAGAAAATGAGATAAAAGGCATTGTGCAACCAAGATGCAGAGTCAGATCAGCCAGCCTCACCCCAGTGCTGCCATTGACTGACTGCAGGAACTTCCCTGGCCTCAGTTTCCTCATCTGCAAAGTGGTCATAACGTAATAGCAACCTTGCAGAATTGAGAAAACCTAACTGAATACCCTGGGAGAGAGAGATTCATGCAAATAAAATATTCAATAAATGTTAGCACCCCTCCCTGCCATTTTAGCCACATGGGGGTCACTATGTTGGAAATTCTCCTCCAGGACAGGGCATGAACTGATGAACCCAGAGTAGAGTAGAAGCAGGAGTGGGTGGGCTAACCAGGTGCATTTCCCCAGCCCCACCCCAGCTCCTGTTTGAAAGTCACTTTCCTTCTGCCATTCCCTCTTGCAGGAGCAGATAGCTCTGGACTGCAGGGACCCAGCATTCCATACTCATCAGTGATGACGGAGGTGTCCAAGCCTTTTGATGGCGGGGCAGGAATGGGAGAAAAATGAAAAGGGCCAACTACCCTGGGAACAGCCATCCAACCATGAAGCGTCCCGATGTTTAGAAAACACCACAATGAGGGATGTTGCTTTCACGTGGGAACATGGGGGTATAGGCAATGGCATTCAGTGTCACCTCCTGACCCTACTTACAATCCTTCTATGCCTCCTTTTGGCTATTGGGTCATTTATCAAATTCTCAGGCCAGCCTTCAAGACCCCTAAATCTACCCCCAGTTCTCTTTGTCTCATCTCCTACCAGCCTGCCTCATGCACCCTCTCCTCCAACAAGACTGGTCAGATCAGGGCCTCCCAAACACTTCCCTCCCACCTCCACTCCTTTATTCACACTGTCCTTCCCTCCTGGAATATCACCTCTTCTCCTTCCTTCAGAGTCAGATCTTATCCATCCTTGAAGTCCCACTCAATGCTTGGTATCTCCATGAAGCCTTTCTTGATCACTAGAACCTCCTTGTGGTAGATTGAGAATGATCATAAAAATTTTTGCAGCCTCTCCTACCAAGAAATGGAGTCTGTTTTTCCCCTGTTTAAGTTTGGAGTGGTCAGTGATGTGCTTTGACCAATAGAATGAGGCAGAAGTGACTATGTACAATTTCAGCCTAGGCCTCAAGAGGCCTCAAGAGGCCTTACTCTTGGAACCAAGTAGGGTGGCTTGCTGGAGATATGTGGCCCAGCTGACAAGTATCACCACCCACTGTATGGTGAATGAGGCCATCTTAGATCATTCAGCCCCAAGTAAGTCACCAAACTGTAGCCACATGAGACTTCAGGTGAGATGAGCAGAAGAACCCCCTAGCTGAGTCCACCTTAAAACTGCCAATCCAGAGAATCATGAGCAAATAAATGATTGTTTCGAGTCACTAAGTTTTGGGGTAGTTTGTTACACAAAAATAGATGACAGAAACACCCCTATAACACTCATACCACTTCTCCCAGGTATCTTGTGACTAGCACCTCTTTTTAAGCACTATGGGGGCCCTCACTCCTCTGCAGGTGTTCTTATATTCTTGGCTTATATTAGGGGTCAATCAAGACCTGCTTCCAAATATTAGCGTGGCTCAGAGTGCTGTCCTTGGAGTGTCCTCATGAGTCTCCGCCATACTTCCAATAGAGTGAATTCTATTAGAAGAATAGAACGTGGGTGAGTAGAACCTGGGCGTGGTAGACTCTGTGATGTTCCAACCACATACCCTTTCACTGCAGGACTTACTGCCCCAGATGTTGGGAGAGCTGGGAGACACTCTTCAGTTGTCTGCCCCTTCAGGGATTACCTTAACAGCAGAGATCCACTTACCTCAGTCATCCCCTTCCCACATGCAATGACTGATTGAGGCAGGGGTATAAAGGCCTGACCATCTCAGCCCCACTTAGGACAACCCTGAGGGGCCGTAGATGCTCCAGATCTTTGGGGTTGGCTGATGCTGTTGTTGGGCCTATGCCACAGCTCAAAAGGTGAAAACCATGTGACCACTCATCTGGCTCCAGCATCACAGCCCATCAGCTCTGGGCCCCCCAACTCACCTGGCTCAGGCTCTGCCTGCCTGTCTTCTGCAGAGCTATGATGGCCCTTCGCAGGGGATATCCCAGGGCGACCACTGGCCCAATGAGGTCTTGCTCCTCCTGGCTCAGGGCGGATAGCAGGTCAGCCGCAGTATCAGGGTGTGACTTGTGGGGGTTGAGAGGCTGGGGTGCCCCCCCAGGAGGTGGCAGACAGGTGTACGGGCTGAGGGACTGAAATACAGACTGGACATGTCAGTTACCACAGGACGTGACACCCAGTTGGGCTGGACATTTTAAAAAATGCATTTATGTACCACCTTCTGTGCAGAGTGTAGGGGCTAATATTATGGAGGGTTTAGAGTCCTGCGGACCCCAGCTCTCTAATGCTGACTCAGTATACTCATGAAAAATGAGGGCAATCCCTAAGCTACTTCATGGGACTATTACAAGGCTTAAATAAGACAATGTGAGGGGCTGGGCACGGTGGCTCATGGCTGTAATCCCAACACTTTGGGAGGCCAAGGCAGGTGGATCACCTAAGGTAAGGAGTTCGAGACCAGCCCAACCAACATGGTGAAACCCTGCCTCTACTAAAATATACAAAATTAGGCGGGCATGGTGGTACATGCCTATAATCCCAGCTACTTGACTGGGGCAGAAAGCAGAAGAATTGCTTGAACCTAGGAGGCAGAGGTTGCAGTGAGCAGAGATCGCACCATTGCACTCCAGCCTGGGCAATAAGAGTGGAACTCTGTCTCAAAAAAAAAAAAAAAAAAGTCAGGAAAGTGACTAGTGAAAGAAATTTGAGATCTATTCTACTATCCCATTTTACAGACATTGAAATCAAGGTTCAGAAACATTAATGACCTGATTAAGCAACACACGCTTGGCACCTCAACACTACTCAGGTTTTTTGCCCCACACCTTGTTGAGGGAGGAGCAGGGGTAGGTCTTCCCAACCAGGCCCTCCTTCTTGGGTTCCTTCTTGAGTTTGGTTGGGCTGGGGTTTGGCAGGGCATGGAGGAGGGGAGGAACTGGGCACACCAGCCCTTCGGTTGTGGTGTTGGAGAAACTGAAACAGACCTTGGATTAAGGAGGGTGACTTGAAGGCATTTCAGTTGGTTTGGCCGGCGTCACCCCAACCCTTCTCCCATGAGGAGGTACCTCTCTGCCAGCCCTAAACGTTTCATCCTGTCCCCTCCTCCCAAGGAAAACCCAGCCGCCGCCTGGCTCCTAGGGTGGAGTGTATATGTAACACACATGAATTCTCCACCCATCCACATCTTCTCAGGGCTCTCCCTGCCACCACCTCACCCTAGGATCTGCCCTTTATTACCTCCAGGGTGGAGAACATCAAAGTTTAGGAGCTGAGTCTACTTTTATGTCCTTGAAAAAGATTCTTTGCCACTCTGTGCCTCATTTCCATCATCTGCAGAATACTGTCCCACCCCCACAGAGTTGTTGTGAGAATTAAATTCATCTTGGCCAGGGAAGAGCCATCCTGGCATCAGCATCTGGTCTTGGATGTGGGCGTGGCTCATCGCGAATACAGGGCCTCTTCTCTACTATGTATGCTCTAAACAACCGGGTGAAGGGTTGTTGGCTCACTGTGCAGGTAGAGAAGGGGTGGTTCAGGGACTTGCCTAAGGTCACACGCCGGTGCATGTAAGAAACCAGACCTCAGGTCTCTGTCTTTCAGATTGAATTCTACCTTGGTCTTATTCTGCAGCATCTCCTGGCCTTACTGGGGGGCTGCTGGGGGGCAGAAAGCTGTGCCCCGCTGCCACCTTCTGCTGCCAATCCTGACCCACCCCATGTTTGGTGGAGTCTGATACTTACATCATTTGGAAGCGACCTCAGAGAAAAAGAACACACAATTATGAACACAAAATTGGGCACAAGGCCTTGGAAGAGACAAAGGGAGGAGCCTGAGGCTTAAGCTTCTGTGGTTTCACTGTAGGGTCACTTCTCCCTGCTCTTCAGGGTTCACTTCCTCCGTCCTGAAACCTTCTCAGCCTGTAGCAGCCCTGACTCTCCCTCAACACCTGATTCCGCTGTAAGTGCAGGGCCTGGTCCCACACCCTCCTAGCCAACTCTCCATGTTCTGTGGTTTTGACACTCCCAAACCCAGTGTCTGGCAGGAAGTAACTGTGCATTGAATATTCCTTGATTCAGCCTCCAGCTTCCCCAGCCTACAGCAAACCTCACCCAGTGGGAAGCCCTAGATTTGCGTTGTGTTCATCAATTCAACAGACATCCACTGAGCGCCCCCTATGGGTCAAGTCGGCAGCTGGGTGCTCTGGAAACAAAAATCAATGCGATCCAGTCCCTGCCCTAAAAGAGCTCAACCTCTGTTGGAAGAGACAGACAGTTTCTGCATAATTAAAACCACTATGACCTGCGCCCTAAAAAAAGCAAGGCAGGCACAGTGGGAAACGCGGGGAATGGGGACTTCTGAACGGGGACTACTCTACTCTAGGCAAAGGGCCGCAGGAGGACAACACTGGACAGGCCCAGGTGGGAGCAGATCAAGGGAGGACACAGGAGTGCGCGGGGTAGGGGACCGAGGCTGCAGGCCTGGGCTGCTGAGCAGCGGCATTGGAGGGACGGGCAGAATCCTTACCGCGACCGTGGGCTTGTGGCTCCGTAGCTGGGGGATGGCGCCGGCCGTGGAGGGCCGCGGGGGCGACGCGGGGGCTGCGGGGGACTGGGGCGCGGACCCCGGGGGTGACGCGGACCTGGGGGACGGCGCGGGGCTGGGGCACAGGCTCTGCGCGCGGCGGCCGCGGAAGCCGTGCAGGAGGGCGCGGGGCCGGGCGGCCAGCTTCCCCTCGGAGAGTCGCCGCCTTGCCCCCGCCAGCTCCGACCGCACGCCGCGCAGCACGTCCAGTGAGCACAGGCGACGGCCGGGGCCGGGGCTCGCCGGAGAGCCCGGTTGGAGGCTGCGTGGGCCCGGCTCTTCCTCGCTGCCAGAGGAGGCTTCTGCCTCGTCCTCCTCCGGCCTTTCCTGGTGTCCGGCCTCCTGGTCTCTGATTGTGGCAGGCGCCAGCCCATGTTCGGGGCTGACTAGCAGGAGCCAGGCTGGAGGGGCCGACGCTGTCCCCTGGTCACCGCACTGGTACGGGCTGGGTCCCTGGCCGGCGGCCTCCACCCAGAAGAGTGCCCTCCTCTCCAGGCTGAAGTCGTGCTGTGGAAAGAAGGCGATGTAAATAAAGCCCGGGGCAAACCAGGACCCCGGGGTCACAACACTAACCCCTAGCCTGGGGGACCCTGTTCAGCCAGAGACTCTCTAGGCCTGGACAGCGTCAGATTCTGAGCCCCGGGCTTCCATCACAGCCCACTCTACCCTGGGTTTTATAGCTAACACTGTGGTCGATGGATACCAATAACAGTTTAATGGCAAACTGGCATAAATGACAAAGTGATGAATTCGTTAATAGAATGAAATGTAATTAAATCCAACATCTAAATCCCTTTGCCATTCAGTATGTAGTTGAGCAAAAACTACTTAAAAATTTTCTCCAATAAAACTTATTCTTAGCAAAGAAGCTTTCACCTGAGCCCAGCACAGTAGGCCCTGTCTCAAAAAACAAAAGCAGGTCGCGCACAGTGGCTCATGCTTGTAATTGCAGCTCTTAGGGTGGCCAAGGTGGGAGGATCACTTGAGCCCGGGAGTTCAAGACCAGCCCGGGCAACATGGTATGAAATCTCATCTCTACAAAGAAATATAAAAAATTAGCCAAGCATGGTGGCATATGCCTATAGTCCTAGTTACTTGGGAGGCTGAGGTGGGAGGATCGCTTGAGCCCTAGAAGAGGAGGTTGCAATGAGCTGAGATTGCACCACTGCACTCCATCCAGCCTGGGCGACAGAGGGAGACTCTGAAAAAAACAAAAACAGCTCTTTCCCTAAGCGGCCTGAGGTAATCTGTGAAAATGGTTCACTATTCATTTGACCTGGAGAACCCCACAAAATCGTGCAAATCAAGAGGTTCAAATCTTTATGGTCACTTTAAGAACACTCGTGCAACTGCCCAGGCCATCAAGGGTATGCATATGCGAAAAGCCATTAAGTATCTGAAAGATGTCACTTTACAGAAATAGTGCATACCATTCTGACGTTACAATGGTGGAGTTGGTAGGTGTGCCCAGGCCAAGCAGTGGGGCTGGATACAAGGTCGGTGGCCCAAAAAGAGTGCTGAATTTGTTTTTGAGACGGAGTCTCATTCTGTCACCAGGCTAGAGTGCAGTGCAACCTCCACCTCCTGGGTTCAAGCGATTCTCATGCCTCCACCTCCCGAGTAGCTGGGATTACAGGCACACATTGCCACACCCAGCTAATTTTTTGTATTTTTAGTAGAGACGGGGTTTCACCATGTTGGTCAGGGCTAGCTGTCCTTTAAATTCAAGGAACAAGGCCCCATGGACTCAGCCTCAGACCCACAGACCTAGAAGACAAAAACACAGAGACACACTTACCATAGAACCCAGCAGAAGCTCCCCGCAGCGCGGGACGCTGAGTTCTGGCCCAGGAAGAGGCTCTGTGCCTATCACAAAGCCCTTGGGCAACTTGAAGGGAACACCATCGAGGGCATTCATTCTGTCAGAGGAGTGTGGAGATGGCTGGCAGGACTGGGGCGGGCTGCTTGATGGTAGGGAGAGAGAGTCAAGTCCTGAGGACCAGGCTCAGGCCTCAAATGGCCTCACTGCTGTCCTGTGTGGTCACTTAGCTGAGCCCCCAACAGCTGGAAGGGAAAAGGTGAGGGGGCCAGTGCTGCATAAAGGAAGGAAATGAATAAAAACAAGAGCATTCACACAGACAGGAATTCACTATTTCATATTTCAGTCATGCTCTAGACCATTGTTTTCCAAAACATGGTCCACAAAACTAGTTCTAATGCATTTCATCAAAATAATTGTCACCCAAATGTTTAAGAAACAAACAGTATTAATTTACAATGACTCTTCCAGGGAAGAAGAAAATAAGGAATACTTTGTAACTTATTCTGATTTTAGCATAACCTTTTTTTTTTTTTTTTCTTTTTCTGGGACGAAGTCTCGCTCTGTCACCCAGGCTAGAGTGCAGTAGCCTGATCTTACCTCATAGGAACCTCCAGCTCCTGGTTTCAAGTGATTCTCCTGGCTCAGCCTCCCAAGTAGCTAGAATTACAGGCACCCACCACCACGCCCAGCTAATTTTTGTATTTTTAGTAGAGACGGGGTTTCACCATGTTGGCCAGGCTGGTCTCAAACTCCCAGCCTCAGGTGATTCGGCCGCCTCGGCCTCCCAAAGTGCTGGGATTACAGGCATGAGCCACTACACCCGGCCAATTTTTAGCATAACCTTGATACCAAATTTGATTAAAAAAAAAAAAAATTAGAAACCAATCTCTCATGAATACAGATGCAAAAAAATCTTTAAAATAATTATGGGTAGAAGAATGTAACACTGCCAGGTTAAGTTTATTTCAGGAAAGACAGATTGACTTAACATTCCCAAATCAATAAATGGGAATAAAGACAAATATCAATAGAATAAAGATGAAAAATTATATAATTATATAGCTCCATAGATGCAGGAAAAAAACATGACAAAATCAATACCCATACCCTTTCAGCAACTTAGGAATAGAAGGGAATTTTATTAACTAATAAAGAGTATCTCTAAAACATCACACAGTGGCCAAGATCATGCCACTGCACTCCAGCCTGACAATGGAGCAAGATGCTGTTAAAAAAAAAAAAAAAAATTACATCTCTATGTATAAATAGTAAATCATGTAAATGGACTCTTCTAAAATTTTTATTAGAAATGGAACATTTTAGGCCAGGTGCAGTGGCTCACACCTGTAATCCCAAATCCCAGCACTTTGGGAGGCCGAGGTGGGAGGATCACCTGAGGTCAGGAGTTGGAGACCAGCCTAGCCAACATGGTGAAACCCCGTCTCTATTAAAAATACAAAAATTAGCTGGGCGTGGTGGTGGATGCCTGTAATCCCAGCTACTTGGGAGGCTGAGAAAGGAGAATCACTTGAATCCAGGAGGCAGAGGTTGCAGTGAGCCAAGATCACGCCATTGCACTTCAGCCTGGGCAACAAGAGGGAAACGCTATCTCAAAAAAAAAAAAAAAAAAAAGGAAAATTTAAAAAGTTACCATTTACATTAGCATCAGTTCTCTAGGACTAAATCTAACACAAGATGTATGAGACCTCTACACACAACACTGTAAAACATTTGGTTAAATTGAGGAACATATCATGTTCAAGGACTGTAAAACTGAATCTTGTAAAGATAGCAATTCTCCTCCAATTAATTTATTCATCCCATGTATCAAAATTCCATCACTTTTTTTTTTTTGGTAGAAATTGGCAAGCTAATTCTAAAATCAAATGAAATGCAAAGGACCAGGAAAAGCCAAGAGACTCTTGGAGAAGCAACACAGTGGAAGACTTTTACTATCAGATAGCAAGACCTTCAAGTTATGGGAATTAAGAGAGTGACTTAAAGACTTGCAAAGAGAACAACAGGACAAAAAAGTCCAGAAACAGATCCACACATGAATCTTTGACTTATGACAAAATTGGCTCTGTAGAACAGTTGGAAAGGGAAAGTCTTTTAAAGAAATGGTTCTGGATTAATTTGATATCCATCTGGGGGAAAACAAAAACAAAAACAATATTGACCTCTACTTCATGTCATACCTAAAAATCGATTCCAGGTAGACTGTAGATTTAAATGTAAAAGGTAAAATAATGAAGCTCAAAGATAAAAATGAGACTACATTCATGGCCTTGCAATAGTCAAACATTTCTTAAGTTACAAAAGGGCCAACAGGCCAGGCACGTTGGCTCATGCCTATAATCCCAGCACTTTGAGAGGCCCAGACAGGAGAATCAGTTGAGGCCAGAAGATTGAGACAAGCATGGGCAACAAAGCAAGACCCCTGTCTCTACAAAAAATATAAAAGTAGCCAGGTATGGTGGCACACACCTGTAGCCCCAGCTACTCAGGAGGCTGAAGTAGGAGGATTGCTTAAGCCTGGGAGGACAAGGCTGCAGTAAGATGAGTGAGCTGTGAGCCCAAGTTGCGCTCCAGCCTGGGCAACAAATGAGACCCTGTCTCAAAAAAAAAAAAAAAAAAAAAAAAAAAATTTAAAAAACCACCACAACAAAAACTCCAAAAGAGACGAACCATGAAGGAAAATTCTGATAAACATTAAAGTTAAGAACCGCTGGGTGCAGTGGCTCACACCTGTAATCCCAGTACTTTGGGAGGCCGAGGCAGGCAGATTGCTTGAGGTCAGGAGTTCAAGACCAGCCTGGCCAACATGGTAAAACCCTGTCTCTACTAAAAATACAAAAATTAGCCAGGCGTGGTGGCACACGTCTGTAATCCCAGCTACTAGGGAGGCTGAGGCAGGAGGATTGCTTGAACCTGGGAGATGGAGGTTGCAGTGAGCCAAGATTGTACCACTGTATTCCAGCCTAGGTGACAGAGCGAGACTCTGTCTTAAAAAAAAAAAAAAAGTTAGGAACTTCCATTTGGCTGGGCGCGGTGGCTCACACCTATAATCCCAGCACTTTGGGAGGCCAAGGTGGGCGGATCACAAGGTCAGGAGATTGAGACCATCCTGGCTAACACGGTGAAACCCTGTCTCTACTAAAAATACAAAAAATTAGCCGGGCGTAGTGGTGGGTGCCTGTAGTCTCAGCTACTCGGGAGGCTGAGGCAGGAGAATGGTGTGAACCCAGGAGGTGGAGCTTGCAGTGAGCCGAGATCATGCCACTGCACTCCAGCCTAGGCAACAGAGCGAGACTCCGTTTCAAAAAAAAAAAAGAACTTCCATTCATCAGATTACACCATTAAGAGAGTTAAAACAAAAACAAAAACAAATCACAGAGTGGGAGAAGATATTTGCAACACATCTATCTGACAAAGGACTGATATCCAGTATATACAAAGAACTTCTATAAACAATAAGAAATGGGCAAGAGATTTTTAATAGGCACTTTACAAAAGAGGATATCCAAATAGCCAATATGATAAGTTGTTTAACTTCATTAGTTATCAGAGGAATGCAAAATAAAACAATGAGATACCACTACACAAACACAACCATTAATTTAAAGTTAAAATTAAAAAGTTTCACAATATCAGGTGTTGATGAGGATGTGGAACATCTATAACTCTCATTCACTGTTGGTCAGAAAGTCACTTAGTATTAGTCAACAGTATCTACTAAACCTGAAAGCCAAGAATTAAGAACTCATTCACACATTACTTCTTGGCCTTTTGGGTAAGATCAAGGCTAGTATCTATCCTTCGTTTAGCAATACTCACAACAGGAAGGAATTTAATTTTTGATGTATTTTAAACTACATTAAATATTGAATCTGTTGCCTTTAAAAAGGAATAAACTCGGCCCAGTGTGGTGGCTCATGCCTGTAATCCCAGCCCTTTGGGAGGATGAGGCGATGGATCACAAGGTCAAGAGGATCGAGACCATCCTGGCCAACATGGTGAAACCCCGTCTCTACTGAAAACACAAAAATTAGCTGGGCATGGTGGCGTGCACCTGTAGTCCCAGCTACTCCCTTGGGAGGCTGAGGCAGGAGAATCGCTTGAACCCAGGAGGCAGAGGTTGCAGTGAGCTGGGATCGTGCCACTGCACTCCAGCCTGGTAACAGATTGAGACTCTCCAAAAAAAAAAGAACAAACTTGGCTGGACGTGTGGCTCATACCTGTAATCCCAGCACTTTGGGAGGCTGAGGTGGATGGATCAGGAGGTCAAGAACTCAAGACCATCCTGGCCAACATGATGAAACCCCGTTTCTACTAAAAATACAAAAAAAAATTTAGCTGGGCGTGGTGGCACACGCCTGTAGTCCCAGCTACTCAGGAGGCTGCAGCAGGAGAATCGCTTGAACCCAGGAGGTAGAGGTTGAGGTGAGCCAAGATGGCACCACTGCAGTCCAGCCTGGGCAACAGAGTGAGACTCTGTCAAAAAAAAAAAAAAAA